GTGCTGTATATGTTTGGTTCGTTAAAAATAAACTATAACCTCCTACTACCATGCAAATTTAGATCAATATCGTGAAATATGAATTGTTTGCACCGTATAACGCCTTGGTGTGAGATATACCTGCGAATGTTTTCTCCCACTTAACTATAACGTTATGTAAATGAAATGTGCTATTGATGGTGATACTGCTATGAACGGACCTGATTTCTTTTAGGCTTTTGATATATTGTTTCGTTTTAGGATAAGGTTTACTTCGTGATGAATCGATTGGTTTCTTTTTGTTTTCCCGCGTAACTATCCTGTATATATATCTGTCGCATCTGCTCTAATTGCGATTTAAAGAGGGCAGAACTATATTCGATTTAGCTACTACAGTTACCTAGTGGAATGAAAGCTGTAGCATCCAAAACTTAACCTCATTGAAATAATGTGCTAGAGTAATTAGTTTCGAACAATATTGTTCTCTTCGTTAAATTTCATATGTGCTTCCCTTTTCTCTCACCACGCCCTACTCTTCCTTTCACCTTTATCCCCATCTCCCAGCTCTACAGTCTATGTATTAACTTGCGCAATCATTGTATGCTGGTGTCTGTAAATTTGTGTAAAGTTATGTTTTGTACAGTGTAGAAACTGTATGTTGTTGAAAAACGTAGAAATGTGTGTCATATGACAATAAATTGTGGACTTGAATGTGAAATTTCAGATTTAATTTCTTTTAGTTTTGTTTAAATTAGCCGGTTGGTAGAAGTATGCGCGCATGTATTTTTCGTCGAGCTTTAACTTAGTTGAGCTTTAGCATAGTCGAGCTTTAGCTTAATTGAGCTTTAGCTTAGTCGAGCTTTAGCTTTGTCGTGCTTTAACTTATTCGAGCTTTAGCTTTGTCGTGCTTTAACTTAGTCGAGCTTTAGCATAGTCGAGCTTTAGCTTAATTGAGCTTTAACTTAGTCATGCTTTAGCTTAGTCGTCATATTACCGGCGTGTATTTCAAACCGCGTGATTCTCAATCCGCCGGTAATAAGTGAGTTCCTAGTTAGCCAAGGGGTTGTATGACGTCACAGGTCACCGGGTCATTGAGAAAAATCGGTGAAATCTCGAGTGCGACGTGCGCTCTCGGTTCAGTGCGTATATGTACATATATTCTGTGCACGTGCACACGCACGCACGTGTACGCACGCACGCACGCGAATACTGTAGCATCACAACGACACACATGCATGCGTATGTGTACTGTGCAGTCGAAATACGAAATGTTTTTCACAAATGACCTAATCCGGAAAAATTCGTGGCAAAATTTGCGCATGCGCAGACTGTAATTACGAACTCGCATATTAGGCTTTACCAAGCATGCCTGCCGTTATTAGTGGAGCGCGTACAGTACTAATAGAGATGGAAAGAAGTGTAGTGCTGTGTAGTGTAAATGCCATAAGCCGCGTTCACACGTAGCAAGAAATCCGGTATTTAGCGTTGACACGAGGCAAAATGCGCGGTCCAAGAAATACGGTATCTAAACAGATCCGGTATTGCATGTAAATACGCGGCTTCCCAGACCCCGCATAATTTCCGTGCTTGAGATAACTACCCGATCTCTTGTGACGCGCGCAATTTCCTCGATGTGAACGCTAAATTACCGTATTTTCTGTGAAGGCCTGCGTATTTTATAGACTGGTCGCGCTCGACCAGTTTCCAGTGTAATGCGAGTGAAACTGTCGAGCGCGGACCAGTCTACGTATTTTATCGACAGTTGGTGCGTATTGCATTATTTATTTCGCATTGTTCGCTTGATTGTATAAAGCAGCTCGCAGCTCGCAAATACCGCGTATTTGTCTCAGATTTCATATTTCATAAATACGAGGTCTCGTGTGAACGATGCTATAGTGTAGGCGGGGGGTGGGTATGTTTTTCCATAGTTCAATCGGGATTTTCCACCTGAAGTGGTTGGCAGCTGGTTCTCGCCGCAACAAGAGCAAACAAGCTCTGTTTAGTTACTTCGATATCATAGCGCAACAGCTGCGATAATATCAAGTTATTATGCAACGGTCATTTGTCGAAATTCGTGTAGGCTACAAATCAAACCAGATTGACATACATAGCTCCAACCACTACCAGAAAATAATATTATACAGTAGTATTCCATCAGGAGTGAATAAAAACTTTTTTTGTTTTTATTCACTCCTGATTATATATATCATATCCGGAAGGAAAATGCTATCTTGAAATCATCTTATTCGCAGCTCAAACTGAGCTGAACTCATAAGAATCAGAGTGTATGAGCCGATTCTAACTATTTAAATCACATAATATAATATTTATTCATATTTAAATCGGATTTAAAACGTCAGTGGCGGCAGTATTTGGCTTGCTCGCACGGATCTCAATTACAATCTAGTAGCTAGTTTAATAATTGCCATCTATCATCACAGTATTATGACTATTGTGTATCCAACTTAAACTGGGTGTTACTATATCAAGCGTGGTAAAAAATGATGTTTATACTGACGTTTGTAATTTATTTCGTATTGAAATCGCATTAACATGCATGTAAGATATGCGCACGTTACATTTTCCAAAAAGCGAAATTATATATATGCTGAATCAACATACCTATAACAAACATATCGGTCAGAATTAGTCGATTCAAAATTTCCCAACAACTCTGTGAGTGATTTCCGAGACAAGGAGTTTTGTGGTTTAGTGGACGAATTTAGTGGACGAATTCTTTAAGTTATTGTTCGTTGAACAATCTTAGGGACACCGGGACATTTAGGTGTTTTTTTCGGAATGAATAAATGTATTGGTAGGTACTGCTTATTTTCCATAACGGGAACTTACTAAGGTGCAGGCAGATCTGTTCTTGCGCTCAACGATAAACCATAGATATAGAATAGACAATGTTTATTCTATATCTATGGATAAACCTAGCGTGTTTATAGCCGCGTTCACACGTAGCAAGAAATTCGGTATTTAGCGTTCACATGAGGCAAAATACGCGGTCCAAGAAATACGGAATCTAAATAGATTCGGTATTTTTTGAAATACGCGGTTTCCCAGATGCCGAATTATTTGCCGTGCTTGAGAAATTCCGAATCTCGTACCGCATATTTCCGACCGCGTATTTCTCTCGTGTGAACGCTAAATGCCGAATTTCTGAAGCCGCGTATTTTATATCACTGACACACCGAATTCGGTATTGACCAATGCGCACCAATGTGGCGTTCACACTGGCGCGAATTAGCGGGCTGCAAAACCCGGTTTTTGCAGCCCGCTCGAAAAACTGAGCTTTTTACAAGTGTGAACGCAATTAGCTCACTAAATCACGCTCCAAATAGCGCGCTCCAAAGACCACTTTCGACTGCGCTAATTTGGAATCAGCACGCTTATTTGCACCGCGGCGTGATATTCGCCAAACAGAACCGAACCGAACCAAATCGAACCGTAAGCGAACTGCTCAATCCACATACGTATGTGGATTGAAAATAATGCGCATTGATGCGCATTACAACCGTATCTGGTGTGTAGGCCTACATAACCGCGTTGAAGCGCATCAATGCGCATCAAAGCGCATTGAAAGTTCGGTGTGTCAACGGTATGCGTAAGGCTGATAGGGTCTATGTCCCCCGGGGTACTGCCGGAACGTACCCTGGGTACGGTTCGGTATACCGGAACGTACCCTGGTACTATATTATATGCCGGACCGTACCTAGCCTACTCCACTAACGAGTCTAGGGAGTCGCCTACGCCGTACTTCCCTAACCCGAACCCATACCGCTAAACCTGTAAACCCTAACCCTAATTTCTCTAACCCTAACCATATCAATAGTGACCAGGGTACGTTCTGGTATACCGGACCGTACCCAGGGTACGTTCCGGGCAAGTCCCTTGGGGGACATTAGACACATCATGAGCATAAGTAAGGCTGCCAGGCGCTCTATGTCTCCCTGGTACTCTCGGAAACGAACCATCGGTACTATCTAATATGCCGACGCTAACTCGCCTCTCCACTAACGAATCTTAGGGAGTCGCCTACGCCCTACAGCCTACTCCATAACCCATACCCTAACCCTAACCCTACCCTTAACCCTACCCTAACCTAACCCTAACTAACCCTAAAACGCCTAACCCTAACCATATCAGAGAATTTACAGGGTACGTTCCGCGTACCCAGGGAGAGGGAGACATAGACCCTATCAGCCTAAGTAAGTTATTTTGTTTATTCAAAACCGCGTGTATATGGCACACGAGGATTATACAACATCTAGATCTGTTACCTGGCGAAATACGGGGTGTAGATCTAAGACTTCATACAGATCATCTGTTTACCCATAAAAAGGTGAAAATATGAAAGCAGTAGAGCGCAGTGAAGGGTGCGTGGGTGATAAGGTTGTGTAAGTACACAACGGTAGGGCGAGAAGGAAGAGGAGGCGGACGAAGAAGAATAAGAACAGGAAGAACAGGAGGATGAGGAGGAGGAGGGAGGAGGGGGAGGAGGAGGAGGATGAGGAGGGAGAGGATGGGGAGGAGGAGGAGGAGGATTCGGAGGCTGACCCTTTCTAAAAACAGTGTCAGGCCACGTACGTTATGGTTGTATATGTTAAGGTATGTAGTTAAATATAATAATATAATTTTATTCTATACAATACAACTAGGTTTCACACGTGCACACACGCGCGCACACACACACACACACACACACACACACACACACACCACACGCACACCAACCACAGCACACACACACACACAGTGTGGAGTGTGTGTGTGTGTATAAATCAATAAATACAAATACATAAAAATATTAATGTCGCCACTCGTAAACTATGCACTTATACGAGAGTATTAAGCCGATGATCTTTAAAAATGACCTCTTTAGATTCAACATGACGTATGTGCAAATCAGCGTTTCTAGGTTCGTCTGCTGATTGATTTGTATTCCATTCGTCAGCGAGTCCTGGTTGGTACAACGCTTGTGGGCCTTCAGGTGTATCCACAGCTGTAGCACTTACGCCAGTGCAATCTTTGGCGCTTCCCATCAACGCATTGACTCGTGGTAAAACACATTTCTTTTTCATGTAGAAGCCGATGATAATGACGATGATTAAGATGGCCAGGCTACCGATGATCAGTCCCACGATGAGACCACTGTTACATTTTTCTGGAGTAGCAACGTTCAGCGACATTGTGTTTGTGGATTTGATAATCCCTACAATGTTGCTAGCTGCGCAGACGTAGTCGCCAGTATCTATATAGGTAACCGACTCTTTTTCATAGGTGCTGTTACCTTCGCCAGTTATTAAGGTTCCGTTGTGAAGCCATGAATAACTTGGTGGTGGATTTCCATCAGCAGTACAGAGCAACCATAGTGTGCTACCGTGGTTAAGCGTTATTACGCCTTCCTGATTGTCACCTCTCACTCTTACCTCTCCCATGTACTGCACGTTTAGCCGCACCTCGACCGACAGTGACTGGAGTGATTCGTGGATGTCAACATGACAGGCAAGTATTTTATCGTGATCATCGGCGGTAAATGTACGCATCAGTGTGCTGTACGTCGTTATAGTTCCATCAACTTCACTGACATGTGAAGTAGTAGCTTCGTCTACAGATGTATCACCAAGTTTCCATGTTACTGTTCCTCCCGGGAAACTTTTCTCTGTAGTGCAGCTAGCTTTATGCGGTCCTGCATGCATTATTTCTGTGTCTGCTACAGCATTGCCGTCTATTGCCATGGTGACGTACGCTGCTGGCACGATCACGGTCACATTCATCTTGTTACACGACATGTATTCCCCAAACACACTAATCGCCTGGCATGAATAGAAACCCTTGTCTTTAAACTCGACTCGCTCTATCGCCATTTCGTCGCCTGCAGCTTGTCTCCCCTGGTCGTCGTGCAACCACGTGTAAGATGGTTCTGGATAGCCATCAGCATTACACGTTAACGTCAGGTTGTCGGCTTCCTGTATAATTACGCCATCATCAGTAGGGTTGTTATAGCTGCTGATGGTCACAGTGTCTCTCAAGTATAGGGTATTGTTTATTACCTCTACATCTAAGTCATCGTGGGTAAAGACATGACAAAAAAGATGCTTGTTATTATCATCCGATGAAAACGTGTGATTCACGATACTCGTTGTTGAGGATGTCTTATTTCTTGAACCCGGTTTGTGGATGTGACTAGAATCAACGCTGATATATTCGTTGTCCAGCCACCAGGTGATGGTACCTGCTGGGTTACTGGTCTCCGATACACACAAAAACTGTAGCGTTCCATCCGGTGATGAAGAGCTGCCAATCAAAGACATGACAACCGACTGTGGTGGCACAAGCACTGTTAGCGTAGCTGTGTGAGATACAGGTCTATCTTCCGGTTTCAGCTGATCTCGCTGCCACTCACAGTAGAACTCTGCACTATCGTGATCAACTTGTACATTAGAAATATGCATGGTGAAGTCACCTGTGTTGTACATGTTGTCATCAATGTACGAGTATCTGACTTCTTTAGTGATATATAGCGCATGGCTATCACGATACCATTGAGCGGTCACTGGACCTTGTCCATTACTATCATAGCTAAGGTTAAGCTTACAGTGCAGCGTAACGTTGCTACCTTCAGCTGCCTCCGTGGCGAGCGGTTGCTGCAGAAACTGCGTCCGCACTGTTACTGAAGCTACACAAAGGAGAAGCATTGCAACGAGCTTGACTACTGCCATCGATGTTCTATCGCTGTCTGAATCCTGTAAACGTTGACAGTTAGCGAGACTTGGGAAGAGCTAACGGGTTTCGCTGGGCCAACACATGTAATACAGAGAAATTAGTAGAATAGATAATTATGAATCAGGGATAAAGGCCGTTCTATATATATATAACTGGTAGACAGACCATACTGCTTACCCAGAGAGCGTATATATCACGTGGTCACGACGACAGCCAGTGGCAAACGGGCTGGAGCCGATTGGCCGAGCGACCACGAACTCGCGCACACGGCGAACAAAACCCGCGAACTCAAATGTGCGGGCTCTCTCTAGAATCACCCCTCGGCGATTTACCAGTGGTCTCTGCGTTCGTTGACATCCTATCAACCGTTTGACTCGTAAGTTATGTTCATGTGTCGTGCAAGCATCTGTACGCGCTTCTGCCCAGTCTGTGGGTTTATAACTTAGTTAAGGATACTCTCCACGTTGTTCACGGGTATTGCTCTAGTGAAGATTAAACGTTTATTGGCGAATGAATCGAATCAATCACTTGTTTTATTTATGGAGGAGATATATCTCTATGCTCAAGCCAAAAAATTTCATGAAATTTCCAGCACCTAATTATGTTACCATACAAATTTTGAATTTTTATGTAAAAATGGTATTTTGGATATTTCTCAATTACCAGAAAGAGTGAGGATACAAAATTTTCGCCACATGTTAAGCACAATATGGACCAAAATAGTGCGTCAGGATTTTTCTTTCATTTTTATATTTACCGAGAAAAATGCAAAAAACTGCTTAAAAATCAAGTTGTGTGTTAAAATTGAAAATTTTAGCGAATAAAGAGGCATAACTAATAAAATACAGCACTTAATAACAATCCCTGACGCACTTCTTTACCACAAAATGTTACCAATAAAACAAGTGTAAAATTAAATTAATCCGATTTGTAATCACAGAGAAATATCCATTTATACATCGGCTACTATGTCAGAAATCGAAACGGAGAAATTAGCGTTTTTTATTTTTCACAATGAGTGACCGCCTGTGTGCAAAATGGGTGAACGTATGTAATATATCTATTGTTAGTACTTACTGCGACATATCCATGACTAAATGACACCACTAAATTGGTAAAATGTTCCATGCACCTTGAGAAATTCTGAGAAGTTACGAGGTTACCATCGCAGAACGCGCGAACTCCGCTCATTCTGACGTCACAAAGCTAATATGTCAACAAACGCGCGCGATGTACTGCGTGTGTTAATTGCAAGGTGTGTTGCGAGGTGTTAGAACTATTTTGGGCGTGGGATACTTGTTGGATCACAACAGATGTCCATGAATGTACATGAATACATGCAATCAGGAGTAAGATAATATAGGATTGTCTTATAATCCTATATTATCTTACTCCTGATGCAATGACAGCTGTAGCAGGGTTGACGCTTAATGATACCGGCTTAGCCGGATAAGCAAAAACGCTCTGACAGTTCACACGTACCGTTATATGGAGAAATTAGCATGTACACAGGTGGCACATAGTGTTAGCCATAGAATAAAGTTGAAAACGAAAAATCGATGAAAATTCATGCACAACGCCGAGAGTATCCTTAAGATATGATCATTCAAGCGTTTACTTGCATGCGAACATATCATACTATATTATACGATTCACGATAGTACGATAACACACTACCATTACACACATCTTGTTTTGTTGTCACACCGGTTAAACAAGTATAGTGATTATGTGTTACGTGGATTAAACATTTAACCGTAAACCGACTTTCTTCTATGAAAAGGACTTAGCCGGTGTCTCGCATCTCCTAAGCCAGATGTGTGACTTGCATCATTATGTCAAACACACTCGCAGAAATAATTATAATATTTGTTAAAGATCAATATAGGCCTAATTATAAAAAATATATATCATCCCAGTGATAAACTATCTCTATAATATAACGGTAGAACAGTAGCGTAGCAACGTGAAGAACAGTACTGACGTCTACTGTGAATCGATCCCCAATAACGCAGACCCTATATGAAAATACATGAAGTCAATGTTAGAGGGTCTAGGGTCAAAGTCTGGGTTATTTAATGGGTTAGCTGTTTGGAGCTTGTGTTCAGTTCATAGGTAATTCCGTGATTAGTCATCCCCTGTTATTCTGTAGCATGGTGCAGAGAGTAGCTTCATTAGCTTTAATTACAAGTTATATTCGCTCATCTTCTAACCCTACATGTTTTAGCACGAGAATAGGTTATATAATACTCCGCTAGCTTTAAATCTAGCTTTACCCGCCCTATCTCTAGACTAGCTTCTAGCAATAGTCTAGGTGCAGCATGAAACCTAAACGTGTTACAAAAAAGGATTATATCAGAAGTAGAAAATAGATCGATATAACGGAGAAGGGGGAAACACCGACTCTAGTTCAAATCTACCTAATTATCTCGCCGGATCGAGCTACATAAAGTTGAATATTGCCGATTAAAACATATTACTCATATAACCCGTCTTTCATCTCTATAATAACATCAATATCATGCATGCTATATATAAACATCATTTCTCGGTTGAGGTATTGACTCTTCGTCGTAATCTTCCTCAGTTTCATCTTTATCGCTACCGACACAAGAACAGCTGTTCATTCCTCGTGTTTTTTTGTTTTCCATTGCGATGGGCGAACAGACCTTGTACGTCGTACCTAGCAATTTGGTCTCGATATTATGCCGTACTAGGTTCTCTAATATTTATGCTAATTGTTTTATATAAATTATTATTGTTTTATTGTTTTATATATTTTTCTAGTAGTAGAGTACGTTCTATATACCAATAGGTATATATAGGCTCGTTGGATATATACAAAATAGACTTATCAGATCTTATCAGGTCACTATGGTGTACGGTTTGTCAATTTAGTCAAACCATATGTCGGTTTCCAAACACACACCATATTTCCGCCAACCATACACATTGCAACGCCACCAACACGTTATTTATAAAAACCTTATCTTCCTTTACAGAAACGCGTCTACATATTTCCTACCAACAGGTGGGTGCGCAGGTGGTTACATTTCTAAAATTTTAGATACATATAAGATATAAACGGTATCAGGACAATTAATACCCCCCGGACAATCACCCCCCGGACAATTACCCCCGGACAATTACCCCCCGGACAATTACCCCCATGCCATTATAACCCGCGACAATTCACGCCCGCGACATGTTACCCCCGGAATTTTACTCCCGAGAACACATCACCCGCCGCGAAAATTACCGCTGCGACACATTACCCCCGCGGAACATTTTAGCCCTGGACAATTTACCCCCGGACATTTACCCCGGGGACAATGTTACCCCCCGGACAGCATTACCCCCAGACATTTACCCCCTGCCAATTACCCCCCCCCCGGACACCTTTTACCGCCGGACCAATTACCCCCGGACCAATTTACCCCGCGACAGTTTACCACCCGCGACAATTACCCCGCCGTACAATCTACCCGGACAATTACGCCCCCGGACAATTTACCCCCCTGACATTTGCCCCCCGGCGACAATATTACCCCCGGAATGTTAACCACGCAGACATTACCCCGGAACCAGATTACCGCGGGCCCGGACATTTTTACCCCCGGCGACATTGTGCCCCGGCGGCCAATTACCGCGCTCCGCGCCAATTACCCCTCGCGACATTTACTCACTGCCGGTGCTTCTTTATTCATTGGGGTTTGGAGACACGTTGGATACAAGGCAGGCCGGACCGGTCGAGAGAGGAACGCAAGAACGGATGGCTGGATTGAGGAGGAGGCGGGGGGAGGTGGGGGGAGACAGCCGTCTGGGTGGGAGGTGTGTGAGGAGGAGTCGAGGAGCAGGCGCGATGGTGGAGGCAGGGACGGATCGGAGAGTCGAAGAGTTGGTCAAGAGGAGCCGACGAGGACGGGTGGAAGGAGGAGGACGGGCGAGGAGGATAGAGAGGAGGAGCGCAACCGAGCAGGGAGGAGAAAGAGAGGAGAGCGAGAAGGAGCAGGACGGAGCAAGGAGAGGGAGCGAGAGGAGGAGAGGAGAGACGCCGACGGTGCGAGCGACGGAGGATGAGTCGGGAGATGGTTGGAAAGCGAGGAGGGCGGGAGGGGTGACGACAACGAGAGTGAGGAACCGGTGGTTGGGATGGCAGGGAAGGGGAGAAGGTGGGAGGAGGCAGTGAGATAGGCAGGCGGTGGCGGCAATGCCGCTGCCCACTCCCTTCTGCCAGCACACCCACACGGAACGCGTGCCGCGCGGAGCGGAGTGACTCCACCTTCTTCCCTTCCCTCCTCTCGAGCCTCGCTGCCCTGATCGATCACCTGCGGTTCAACAGCTTGCCAGTTAATCAGCTTTCCACCATAGTGACTCCGGCTCACACACTCGATAGTCGGAGTGGGGCCGGGCTAGCATTGTATCTAGACCTTAATTGTCGGCGGCGGGGATAACATTGTCCGCCGGCGCCGCTGGCTAGCGGTTCACATCTGTCCGGCGCGAGTCAAATGTGCCGGGTGCCGACACCTTGTTCTGGGCCGGGCGTCAAATGTTCGGGGCGCGGGTATAAAAATTTGTTTTTCCCCCTGGGCGGCACAGTTTGTCGGGCCCTTGCGGCGTAAACTGTCCGGCAGGCGGGCTAACTTGTCCGGCGGTAACAATGTGCGTATAACGGTAATGTGTGCCGAGGGGTAATTGATCCGTGAGCGCACTGTCTACAGTATGTCCGGGCCCGGCCCCACCGCGCGTGATTATTGTCCGGGGCGCCCCGGTACACACTCGGGTCCCGGCGTCGCGGTCTGGCTGAACATTTGTTTCGGGCGGCCCAGTAAGCTTGGTCACGGGCGCTGTGAGTTGTCCGCGCGGAAGGAATGTCAGGCGGGGCGGGCCGCAGCTAACTTGTGTCCGGGGCGGCTAACTTGTGCACGGGGACTCATAAATGTCTGCCATCGGCCGACAAGCCGGCTAATTGGCCGGGGGCCCCCCCGCGTAAATGGTCCCAGGGGAGGGCTCCTCCCCTCGCCCTGTCCGGGGCGACCGAGTAAAATGTTCCGGAGGGTAAATGCCGCGCTGGCGGTAATTGTCCGGCTGCGTACGTTGTGTTGTGTTGTGTGTGGTGTGGCGCGGGCGTGATTAGTCCGCGCGGTCGGTGAATTTTTTGGCATCGGCGAGGGTTAAATGGCGACGTGGGGGGTAATTGTGCGGGTCGGTAATTGTCGGCCCGGGGGTCGAATGGCAGGCGAGGGTAAATGGCATCGGGCCCGTCGTAATTGTCTCCCTCCGCGGTGGTAATGTCCGGAGTCAGCGCGGTAATTTGTCCGACGGCGGGTGAATGTCCGGCGAGAGGTATTGTTCCT